TCATCAGGGAAGGAAATCATCATGATGCACATCTACTAGAAATTCAGAACCTTTTGAGTTTGGATGTCCAGGACACAGTGATAGAGGATGGGTTATTTTCTTCACCCGGTAATTCAGAAAAGATACCCAAGGAAGCTGAGCTTCAGTTAGACAATGTGCATTTTCTGGAGGACAATAACTTGTTCTTTCCTGGAGGACAAGATTTTTCCAGCATAGCAAATAAAAGCCCAAATTCAGACTTGCAAAATTCAGAGGCAGAAACCCCATCTTGCTTTGATCCAAATTCTTCACAATTATGCCAGGAAATCCCAGCAGAAACAAATGCCTCAGTAGTGCTGTGGGACACCTCCAGCCTCTCACTTCTTTCTGGACAGGATGAGATTAATATTAGAGACCCAGAAAGGATTCAGAGTTCTGTACTGCTGCAGCAGTTGGATCCACAGTGCCAGGCTCCAAAGGCTGAAGAAGATACGTTTGGATTGGGTCTCAGTGCTGAAGGCTCAACAGGCAAGCATCTTTCCATAGAGGAAGACAATTTTCCCCTTACGTACATGTTCACCAGCCATGCTTCTGAAATCTTTAATCAGGGTGGTTTTGATCTTTTCAATGTTGATTCAACCAAAATGGGCCTGGAGACTCCTGAAAAAAATAACAGGAACAGGAAAACATCAGGAATTGAAGAAGATTATGAAAGTCTCTCTTCTGCAGACCCAAATGTGTTAAATGATGGCCTTGTAGACCAGGAGTTTTTTATATAGTTGAACAAAAAAGATTAAAAAAAGCACTCACCACTGCAACACGAGTTAGCTGATATGACACAAAAATTGGTTCATGAAATCAGTTTAGAAATCCCCCACTCCTCTGGCACAAGACAAATTCAGTTGTGCATAGGCTGATTTATTAACGGCTTAAGGAGCTAAATTTAAGATCTCTAACCTGGTCATAGTGGGTCAGTGCTTCAGCTCCCGAAAAAGAACATTGCAAAAACTGGCTTCACTGTGAGGAACCTGCAAGAAGAGACCAGCCAGCACCCCGCTGTCTTCACCCAGGGGTCTTCTGCAGAGGGCATCTACTGCCAAAGTCCTTCAGAGGATGTCTGCATGGTCACTGTCTGCATGGCAGAGGGGAGACAGATCTCCAAAGAAGTCCTACCAGCAAGCAGCCATAAGCAACAAGCTAATCAAGTGCTATAAACTCGAATGAGAAGAGAATGTCATTATCAGGAAGGAAGCAAATCCTTGGCCACATGTGAACAAGTAAAATGCAATAGGCAAAGGCAAAACCGAGGAAGGCGGGGTGAAGATTTGTCTCCAAATTAGACTTAAGTGTCTGCAATATTAGCATTCCAGTGTAAATCAGATGCCTAAGGCCACATCAGAGCCAATGGAGGACTAGTAAATACAGTCTGGGAAGTGATTAAGCCCACCCTAAAATAGACAACTACAGTTGAAAAGCTAACAGCTCTCAGGACTCTATTAACTGTGTCAATCCATCTCCACTAATTACAGTGCAACATTAGGTATCTATTTCACATATGGACAACTACATTTAGACATCCAGAGGTGAATCCAACCCAAAACATCTTACACCTTTTCACCATATAACTTGTCTACACTTAATAATAATGATATCTCACTCCCCTCATATTTTTCCTTCACTAGGCTGCGAAATTGCTTCACAATTTGGCCACAATTCACCCCTACATATAGGTGTCCAAATGTATCTCCAACCACAGTCACTCCTGATGTTCAGAGCTACGTAAAAGAAAAGCCAAGTCCATGAATTAGTATATCAACGTCCTATTGTCCACACCAGCCTTCAGCTCCAGGCAACGGTTTCTCTTTCTGAACTACTTTCTTGGATGATCCCTCTCCCTTCCTTTAGTCTTTGACATTTGTACATGATGCACTGGCTTTCCAGCTGTCCATCCCAGGTCTTCCCTGAGACCTGCTGATTTCTCAGACCTTCTGATAGAAGCTTTTCAATTTTCAAGAGGCTTTACAAGTGTTAGTAATCCACCTGGGCAAAACTGTCAGACAGAGAGAAGTAAGCACAGAAATTCTAGTGGTGGGGCTCCAGGAAATAGAGGTTTGCAGTGCTGACCCAGCCTTTGTCCCTGAGAGAGCTCCACCATGCAGGATTGACCCACTCAGCCCCAGATGATGAAGACAGTCATAAGAACAATGTCTTCCTATGAGAAGTGTCATCTTCGGGTGACAGTTTAGAAGGGACTGAAGCTTTCCCAGGGCTTCAGAAGAGCCTGTCTGGTGACATTAGGAAGAACAGACTCAGAAGTCACATCTGCATTAGCACATGAGACTTCAGTCATGTCTGGGATGCCACCAAGGAGATTTTATAGCCAAAATATGACCTCTTTGACACAGGACATGGTGGTGGCTGAGGACCGGGAGGGAGGACCATAAGCCACATGCAACAGGGTAAGCCTGAAGACTTCATTTTGCTGCACATTGATGGAAAAGACACCTACTCCCTGTTCAACAGAATGGGGTTAAAATGCCTCTGCCACAGTGGATCTCTGTGACCAAGTCATCCCACAACATGGCCAGAGATGGATTTGGGGTAAAAGGAACCTCTAGAGGTGACTTAGCTCACCACGTTCAAGGCATGTCTCTGAATAATAGCAAGTCCTCTCATCCAAGGATGTGGATCCAGAGCCCAGTGATATGTTTGGCTGTGTGGGGTGTGCATGATACGTGCACATTTCTGGTGCAAATTTACACAACTCTAAGTAACATTTACTCCTCTCTTCTTTTACACCCAATAGCATTAACCAGTATGACCTCTCCCACCCCAGACTAAGGTGGGATGTTTTAAGATTGTCCTGCGTTGAGTGAGTGGTGGAGTTTTTTGGTGGCAGGGGAGGGGGCTAAAGGGGCGGCCCCCTGTGAGAAGCTTCTCGAAGCTCCCCCAGCTCCACGTCAGCTCCACTTCTGTTTGGGAAATTGAGCCAATCGGCTGCGCCTCTGCGATAACGTATTTAAGAAGGGACGTGGTGACGGGCAGTTGGACTTGTGAGGAGGAGTCGCTGCAGCTGCATGAACACCAAGGTCAGTGGAGGAACGGAGGAAGAAAGGAGGGGGGAGGTGTGCCGGAGCAGAGACCCCCCTGTATCCTGTGGTGAGATGGCAGGGCGGCCCCCCCTGCCACCCATGAAGATCTACGGTGGAGCAGACATTGATTTATGGCCTGTGGCTCCTGCTCAGCTAATCAAGGTTCTGTGCCCGAAGAAGGCCGGGGTCTCATGGGAAAAGGTAGCCCCACTGCTGTAATTCAGTGCTGGGAGGATTGCAGCATGCGGGGGAGTCCCACGCCGGAGCAGCTCGGGAAGGGCTGCAGCTGTGGGAGGGAATCCAGTCGGAGGAAGTTAGTGACCCATGGTGGAGCAGTGTGGGGAACGCTGCGGCCCATGGGAGGAATTCATGTCGGAGAAAGTTTGTGGAGGACTGTCTCCTGTGAGAGGGGGACCACGATGGAGCAGGGGGTAACAAGTTTTGGACACTCCCCTCACCGAAGATGAAGGAAGTGGCAGCACTGACTGCACCCCCCATTCCCTGCCCCTGCGCCACTGGGGGAGGAGGTAGAGATATCGGGAGCAGAGCTGAGCCCGGGAAGAAGGGAGGGGTGGGGGGAAGGTGTTCTCAAGATGTGGCAATGCTTCTCACTGTCCTACTCTGTTATGTGTTGTTAGTGTCAGTAATAAATGTATGTTCTTTTTTTCTTCCCCAAACGAGTCTGCCTTTTGCTCGTGATCATAAAGGGAAATTTTTCCCTATCCCAGTCCTATCTCGAACCCCAAGCCTGGCTCTCTGTCCCTTCTCATTGCCGGAGGGGAAGGGAGAGAGAGCTGCTGCATTGTGGTTGGCTGCCAACCAGGCCTAAACCACGACAAAGATCTTATCTTCTACCCCTCTTCCTACTTCCATAAGCTCACCAGTGCCATACCCACTGATGAACACCAAGCCAGACTTGTGTGATCCTTCAGTAACTTTGCTGGAGGCTCAGACGTACTGTCTGTGTTGAGAGTGAAGGACAAAGAATTTGAGAGGTGACATGAAGTAAACAGGTCAGTGTCTAGTGACCTGTCCTTAGCACTCTGGTGAAAGCAGCCAGGAGACCTTTTCCAAATTACACACCAAATTTCATACACTGGGGGCAATCCAGCTTTCCAGTTTCCAGGAATAAAGATACGAACCACTCAGGAAGTCTGTCTAGGAAGCAGCTCAGACGTGCAGCAGAAATCAGGTCAATCTGCTTTTCAAGTGACATCAGAACCTTGGGCAAATCCAAGCTGGTGTTGTTTCTTATCCCCAAATCCTGTGTGCTCTGTATGTCTGTGTGCATAACGTGCTATGTTTTGCTTGAGGGTACTCACTAAGCCCAATCTATTTTAGGATTCTCCCCAAGACACTGTAGTTTAGATCTAGTTTTATGACTAACCAGGGTTTCTACATGGGACAAATGAAAACTGACAGCTCGGCACACAGCTGTCAAGACCAAGTCTACCTGACTATCAGCCATATTTCCTGATCCAGAGGAGAATTGCTTTTCTGTTTATCTTTCCTATAGTCTTCAGGATGGGCTATCTATCCATTAATCCATTAATGAGAGCATCAAATTTACTCTGTTTGCTCCACCACATTTAGGAAAATTAGCCCTGATTTGCAGTGTCACAACTTCATGTCTTGAACAACAAAAAACCTTGTGCTGCAGCCTGGGGAAACACACCAGGCTGGGCCAAGACAAGCTGTCCCTGAGCTATCCCCATGAGTGGCAATGCTCTGGCACCTTTGTTCCAGCACCAAGAACAAGGAGGGAATGGCTGGAGACAAAGTACGCCCCGGAGGACTCAGTATATCATCGTAATGGACAAACGTGCTGGTACAAGTGCTCATTTTATCATACCTGATTAGGGGTTTAGTGCTCATATAGTTTAAACATTAACATTTGTCTATTTAAGCAACGTGCCCTAGTACAGCCTGGCCATAGAGGTAGTCACCATGACTGAGTTTGGAGATGTTATAAGTGCTCTGGGGGAGTTTGGGCTATATCAGAAATTGCTGGTACTGTTGCTCTCCCTCCCACTACTTCTTAATCCTTTCCAAATGATCGGTCAAGTGTTCATGGTTGTGGATGTGCCACATCACTGTGACACCAGCTGGATCCGTGCCGTTGGCCCCAACCTGACGGAGGAAGAGCAGCTGAACCTCACCCTGCCCCGGGACGCGGACGGGGCGTACGAGCAGTGCTCCATGTACTCGCCGGTGGACTGGGACCTCGGCTCCATCGTGGCGTACGGCCTGAACGCCACGGAGAAGTGCAGCAGTGGCTGGGTGTACCCCTCAGCACAACCGCCGTCCCTGCTGACCGAGGTCTGTAATCGCCTTTTGACACGCCGGGGATTGGAAGGGGAAGGGATGGGCATACCCTGTCCTGTATTTTGGTAAGCCAATGCCAGCTGTGGTGCAGTCAGGCTGAGATTTACATGAGGTACTGGGGGATTTTGGCTCCATCACACAGATCACAGCTGTAATCCTTGGGAGATTGTTGCAGAAAGACCACGATGAAGACGGCTGGGGAGGGGCACATGTGGGGTCTGTGGGGGTGTGAGTCCAGCACATGCTCTGACCACAATTCCTCCCTTTTCCAGTATCCGGGACCTTGAACCCATGATATAGCTTGTCTAGAGGGACCTTCTAGGTCCCCCTGCCACAGTTTCCCTTATTCTTCCATCTGGTTCTCCTCACATCAACTTCTCTGTAAAAGACATTTACCTTCCAAGGGCTTGTCATTAATATTTCTGGGGCCTCCAGAGACCTTCAGGGCTGCAACAAAACATCCTATGGACCATGTAGTTAGCAAAGGCTCTGTTTGTCATCATCCCCCTCTCTGGACCTCTGTTCCTCTCCCACTTTCCCTCATTTCTCTGTTCTTCCTCCCTCTCTCCTTTCCTCACTCCCAGCTCCATCACCTCCTTGAAAATACCTTCCTCTGAGCTGAAACCAGAGGAGAGAGTCCAGCCTCTGGCATTTGCAAAGGCTCCTTGGGGTCCCTGGAGCACTGTGTCCATCTCACAGCCAGGAGGCTCCTTTGGGGATTCCTGGGCTGGAGGGGAGTCCTGCAGGTCCCAGTACTTGGGAGATGTGCACCATGGTGAAGAGGCAGGCTGAGCACCCTGTACACCTGTCCCACCTCTGACTTGTGTCCTATGTGCACATCATGGAGGCTTGTGTCCTTGGGGGGTGGGTTCTCTGCTCCCAGGGGCTGGAGTGAGAGCTCAGGCGCCAACTCCTAGATCCACCATGGAGCAGAAGGGCTGCCCACCCTCAGAAAGCTGCTGAAGTCTGTTGAGACCAAAATCAGCTGTGTTTCCTTCCTCCAGTTTGACCTGGTGTGCGACAGGAAGGACTTGAATGACATCTCCCAGTCTGTCTACATGGTGGGGCTTCTCCTAGGAGCTATGATTTTTGGGCCACTAAGTGACAGGTGAGGAAATACAGCCACCTCCCAGTCTTATTGCTCAGCACCAAGGGACATCCCAGCTGAGAGTTCAGGATGTCCATGCACTGAGCATGAAATACTCCCTCCACAGGATTCAATCCCCTTGCCTGAGCAAGGGCACCTGGGGTCACCTGGCATGTCTGTAAATGTCTGAGGGTTTAAAAGAGTGGGAGGCAGATACAGCCTTATGTGGGGCAACCTTCAGAAATCAAAGGTCTAGTCCAAACTGGTGTCTTGGTTACCCAAGGGTGTCTCCAGGAATCCCATAAATCTACATTTGGCAACAGAGTTGGACCCACCTTCAGCTGTGTTAACCAGACCATGAGTCCATCCTTCCTGTGGCTCTGATCAGCTTATGGTGACCAAGACCAAAATTCTCAGATCCCTAAAGGTCACAGCCATGCAGGGGACATGGAAAGGAGCATGTGTACACAGTGCCTCATGGGGGAACCAGCACCACAGTCCATTTCAGTCTGATCCTCACTGCTCTCAAGAGAGGGGACACAGGGACCCTTCAAGGGCTAGTTCCTTTAGCAGCATCGCCTTTTGCCTTTGCTAGCACTGCGATGGGATAAAAGTAGAGATGCTGATTTTCCTGTGATGTATAGAGGAGTTTTATTCACATGGATGTCAAATCCCCTCTGGTGTCAATGGTCCTCAGAGCACTTCATATTCTACATGGGCTCTTCCCCATGCCCATGGGGTCTCCAGATACCAACTGTGTCTTCCCTCTTCTTCCACAGGATGGGCCGTCGGCCAATCTTTCTGACCTCCATCCTCCTCCAGGGCTTGTTTGGCGTAGCAATTGCCTTTGTGCCCCATTTCTATGTGTACATGGCCTTCAGATGTGTTGTGGGGGCTTCGGTGTCAGGAATTCTGATTACTGACTTGGCCTTGGGTGAGTAGACTTCTCTGAAGCAGACAGATGTAGCCTCACAAGAATCAATAATAAAAGATAGTGCAGCATGTTTTGAAAAGAGTGACCCTGAACCTTCATCATTCTTCTCAGCTACAGAATGGGTTGGTGCCTCCTCCCGACCAAAGGCAGTGCTTCTTTCTCACTGCTGTGTTGCCATCGGACAGATGCTCTTGGCTGGCTTGAGTTACGGTATTCGCAACTGGAGGCTGCTGGAGATTGCAGGATCTGCCCCAACGTTTGCCCTTTTCTTCTACATCTGGTAAGCAGGAGTGGGGCAGAGCTCCCTGCAGACACAACAACAGCAAGTGTAAGAGGTGGCAGTGAGGAGGCAGCAGCTCAGCACCAGGCTGGGTCTTTCCCATCCATTAAAGCGCAGATGTTGGAAGGACTTCTGCAGAGCTCAGCACATCTCCCTGGGGCACTGGACCCCTCCAAGAAGCAGCTGCTTTGCTTTGGGTCCTCAGATGTGGCCTCTGGGGCCCAAACGTAGGCCTGGAAAACCTGGCCTGAGGAGGTAGTCAGACCCCTCCATCACATGTGATGCCTGTCGCCTGCTGGCCGTGGCTGCAGGGAGATGGGCTGTGGGGAAACTCAGCAGGTCACAGCAGCACCTCCTGATTTCATCTCCTTGGCAGGGTGCTACCCGAGTCAGCTCGGTGGCTGGTGACAAAAGGCAGAATAGAAGAAGCCAAGAAGGTCCTTCAGAAGGCAGCATCCATCAACAAGTGCACCCTCCCACCAGGACTCCTTGAGCAGGTACCTGTGATGGCACGGGGAAGTGCTTGTTGGCTTCAGAGACTTTCCTCTGCGCCTGGCTTTGTAGCAGCCATGGGTTCGTCCGTCATCCGATAAATATCTTCCCATGCCCACTGGGGACGAGGTGGGGATGGCCTGTGGCTAACTCCAGCTTCATCTGCGCTGTGCGGAGGCCAGGTCAGGCAAGAGGCACAGCTCCTGCTGCGGCTCAGCCTGGACCTTTCTGGAGTTCACCTTGGGATATGGAAAGGACTCGACAGCTTCCCTGGCTTTTCTTCTGTGAGGGTTGTAGGAGTGTTGAGGGTGAGCACAAGGGCTCTCTTTAGTTGGCGGTTTTCCATGTACAACTGGCCAAAGGTCATGCCCACCTCAAAGTCCCTGAGCTGGGGAAATGTCCATCCTGAGGAGCCTCTTAGCCATCACACTAGTGCTTTGGGCACCCAGAGCACAGGCACAGGAGCCCAGCCCCTCTGGGCTGCCCTCCCTCCCAGAGCAGTTTGGGGTCACAAGCCTGTCCCACTGAAGCTTTCCCTTCAGTGCAGATGGAAAAGGAGCTGGCCATGGGTTTCCTTTGCCTGCCGTGACCCTTTGCCTTTCTGCCTTTTGAAGCTGAAGCCTGAGACACAGACCAAGTCTGGAAGTATTCTGGATCTCTTTCGGAAGAAGCACCTCCGGAACGTGACTTTAATCATGTCATGTGCCTGGTAAGATATCCCCTGGTCCACTATTTCCAAACTTCTAGGTAAAGAAAATAAGAGATTGGTGGTTGACAAGAACCGAAAATTCACTTCATGGGATCTTTTGGTTCATGTTTATGTCTATGTATTCATCTGCTATCTTTCTGTCTCCCTATACTGGACCAGATCTGTCTTGTCTGGATATGGGGAGAATCTGAATATTGGAGATGCTGTAGGTTTTGTGAGAAAGGCTGGAGTAATTCCAGTTTTTGGCAATCCCTGAACCTTGGAGTAATTTTGTGTCCCCCTGGAAGTTTTGGGTGCAGTCTAAAAGTTGCTGACCATATGGGGATCCATGTTGCTTTATCTTATGTACCTGAGTCTCACAAAATTGTCACAGGTGGTGAGTAGAAGCAAAACAGAGATTGCTGGGAGCTTAAATAAGTTGTGTGTCTTCTAAACACCCTAATTTTTGAGGATAAACCCCTGGAAATCCTATCAGGTTACATATTCTATTCCACTTTACTTGAATTTCAGGTTTGCAGACAGCCTTGTCTACTACGGGCTGAGCCTTAATGTGACAAGTTTTGGTCTGGACATCTATCTGACGCAGCTTGCCTTTGGGGCGGTGGAGTTACCAGCTCGATATTGCTGCATTTTCTTTCTGCAGTGGTTTGGGAGAAAGAAAACCCAAGCTGTTCTCCTCCTACTCTCTGGCCTGATGTGTCTCATCATCACTGGCATCCCTGAAGGTGAACAACCTCTTCCCAACCTGAGAGCACACCCCGGCAGAGCCCCAGCAAGCTCTATCCTGGTTCAGACCCATCCTCCCAGCCCAGCTACCCGCAGACCCACACTCATTCCCAGGGGCTGAGCTGCCTCAAGTTTCACAGCTCAACATGCTGGCTTCCTCTCTGGGTGACTTTCTTCTCCTTCAGAGCTGTGCCTGGTCCTTCCACAACTCCTGGCCCTTGGCAGGCAGTGTCTGTTACACACCAGCACTCACCAGACACCACCACCTGCACCACAACCTCCTCTCAGAAAGGTGTAGCAGAAGAGGCGTTCTAAAAGCCACTGTGTCTCCCTTCTTTAGATGAAAAGGAAAAGCAAATAGCCCCCGCTTATCTGTTACTGCCTACACACTGCCGCAGCCCATACCCTCAGCCCTAATGCTGTGCTACAGGTGTGAGTAAGGCTGAAGGAAAGAGAGGGCCTGCACGATGCTTTAAAGCTCATGGACATGACATTTCCAACCGAGCACTCCCTGAAGCCCTGTGGTGGATCAGTGGTTCACTCCAGGTGCAGATTTAGGAAATGCCCAAGGACTCAGGAGAAATCTGGACTCTCTTTGACAGTTGTCCAGAGTATTTTCCAAGAAAGGATGCTCTACGAATGATTTCCAATGGGTTAGGCAGTAGATTTGCTTGGTGAGTCCATTAGAGAGGGCTGTCCTGGGAAATCCCACTGCAGACACCTTTGGTTCCAAGTGAATCTTCTCCACGGAAGTCACAGTGGTGGTGTCTCCTCCTCCCCTCAGACCAGCCCGTGGCAACCACCGTCCTGGCCATCATCGGCAAATTTACAGCCACAGCCTCCTTCTCCACCTCCTACGTCTACTCCGCAGAGCTCTTCCCCACGGTCATCAGGTGAGGTCTCCCCACGCACCGGCGTGTCCCCCCACCACGGCTTGGTGGCAGTGGTGGGGCAAGAGCCCAGTTGTCCCCACGGCCGCACTCAGCCCCACGGTGGCCCAGGGGACGCCGAGCCCTGCCCGTGCCTCCCGCCACCCCTTGCTCCCCCAGGCAGACCGGCGTGGGGCTGTGCTCGATGTCGGCGCGGGTGGCGGGGATCGTGGCCCCGCTGATCCGCCTCCTGGGCCAGTACCACCGGGCCATCCCCATGGCCATCTTCGGGAGTGCCCCCGTGGTGGGGGGGCTGCTCTGCGTCCTGCTGCCCGAGACCCGCGGCACCGACCTGGTGGACGACACGGGGGACGGACACCCCCCGGCTGAGGTGGGTAGCTGGAGCTCTGAATTTAAGGCAAAAAAAATCCAAAGGTGAAAATTTAAGGCAAAGATAAATATGCCAGGAACCAAGATGGGAACAGTGTCACCTCTTCCTTTTCTCGTTTTCAGCAGCAGGAGACGGGAAATTTTGTGCAAGAGGCACACCAGAGAGGATGGAGTAGACTTGGAGAAGGACATCTACAGATGCTCAGAGAGCAAGTGATGAATGGACAGACATATAATAAATGTTTAGTCTGATCCAGTCTTTCTTAAAGCAGACCTATGAGGCATTGCTCTCTGGAAAGTGGTCTTTCAGATCAACAAAATATTCATGGTCAGAGGGAGAGGAGATCTGTGTCACTCTGCGTTTGGGAAAGATGCACTTCGAACTGTTCCGGAAACTCGCTCTGTCGTGCCTGGCTGCGCGAGTCCTCCCAGCGTGTTTCCCCGTCCTTTGCAAACTGGTACCCGTGGAACCACCCCTGTCGTGTTTTACAGCAATAAAGAATCGCCAGTAGAGTGGAAGTACTGGGCAAGCGAGTGCCGGGCTGCGTCCCTCCTGCACTAATCGCTTGGGTCATCGGCTTTCTCATCGGTCCAAGCCTCAACGTTTGATCAGGATGTCACTGAAACCCTGTCACACACATATTTCAGTTTTTATTTCTATGTGGTGTTGAATTTGAGTTTCTACATGAATAATATAAATTATACTTTTGAGTTTGAAGAGAGACACTTGTAATGCAATATGTGAATAATAAATGGTGTTGATTTTTTTTTTTTCCTACTGTTTCACAGTTGGTTTTTGTAACTGCTATTGACTCTGGAATGTTTTCTACATGGAAATTGTAAGCTTGTAATTTAACACACAGATGGAAACATGTTTGGTTTCCATCAGCCACAAACAATGCAGAAACAGTGTTAAAGCAGAACGACTGAGTTCAATTAGGATTTTTTTTTTTTTTTTTGCAAGTCTTCTGATGAAAAAATCTATATTTATTTTCTCTACTAGCAGCTGTGGAAGTTTCCTGAATTGTGTGGTGTACACTGCAATTCAATGTCAGTTAAACTGAGTGGGCATCTGGACAGCTTTCCCCAGTCGTGGTCAGCCTTTAGCAGTGACTTGGTTGGCTGCTGCTAGCTCAGCCACAACATTTTAGTGTCATCTACTTTCACGCAAAAGAGAAAGGCCATCTCCTTTCCTGCACTACTTGTTCACAAGCAGAGAATTTATTTGGTGCCCTTTCATGAAGCTATCCCCTCAAACCACGGCACTGCTTTAGGTTAAAGAAGAAGACTTGTCACTCAAGTTTGTAGCATCCTTTTGTTTCCGATAGCTTTGTGCTGTAGAAAATGGTGTTTTTGAAAGCTGGGGTGTCCCAAGTCCGGGCCAGACATGCCTGAAGGTGATACTCAGTTTGTGCTTTGGCTTTGGTGCACAAAATCTCCCCAATGTCACATGGGACCTGGCCATGGCTGGAAGTGGGGCAGGGCATTTGCAGGTTCTGGGCTTTGGCACTGACTCATTGCACAGTCATTAGAGCAGTGCTAATGCTCCTTCCCCTCACCTCTTCAGCCATTCATTTATGTCACCTGAGGCACTTTTAACCCTTTGTCTACAGCCTCGTCATGATGAGAGACTTTAACATCCCATTGCATGCATGCAAAAGTGTGTTTGCATTCTCACATGCAATTCCACCACACCTAGCTTGATTCTGTATTGTAAACTCTATTTATTACAGTGTAAGACCATGTGTGGACCAGGTAACAGCAACATTAAGGCACAGCAAAACCCTTGGACATCCTCCCATTTTTGCTGAGCTGCACAAAACATCATGAGTCAAGATGTTCAGGTGCTCTTCAGCCAAAAGTGCACTATCCAGTGGCCTTCAAACCAACCAGGTGCAGTGGTCTAGAGAAGAGCAGATAAAACAGATCTTCAGCCTACTGGGTACATGAATGAGATGGAAGCAGAAGTGCATCAGATGTGCCTGGACACCTTTATTTATGAAGTGAACTGAAACAGACAGTCTCAGAGCAGAATTCCCAAAAGGAGTTGTGGTTCACTCAGTAACTGCATTTTGCCCCAAGCTCTTCCCTCAGCCTTTATCCTCAATGCCATATTTTCCATAAAAGACCAAAAGGAGGCAGCCCCCAGCCATCGCCAACGAAACAGCACCCTTGGGCAAAGGACTGAGCTCCTCTATACTCAGAGGCACTGAACAGGAGCAGCAGAGCAAATCATTTGAAAAGCAGTGCCAGAGAGAAAATGGCACCACGGGCAGCCCCTCCCGGTGAGTCACTGCCACATGTCACAGATTTTATCCAAAACTATGTCTTCATCAAATTGCAGATCCGTAGGCTACTTTGATCCATGGAAAACATGAAGGCATGAGAACAGGGGAAAGAAATAAAATCTGCTTTAAAAGCTTCTTGACACTACCAGAAAATAATCTTTGAGCTGTATATAGACAAAGCTGGAACACCACCACTCTATAACTTCTGGGCTCCATCTGTACTAAGCCAGTGGTAAAAGAAAGTCATCTTGAGTGAGAGGAGGTAAGAGGAGGAGAAGCACAGGAAAAGCACACGTTTTTTCCTCAAAATATAAGACAAAATTGGTCCTAAACCATTTAAAGACAGAAATGGAGACAGCAAGAATGAATACTCTAGAAGAGAATAGAATAGACTTGATAGTTCCAAGAAAGATTTGCACTTTCTTCTAAGAGACCAACTGCCACAATGTCTCTCAGTTTCCAGGAACAAATTAATGTGGTCCTACACCATAGCCCGATAGCACAATTTTCTGTGCACAAAGCATCATGACATGCTTTAATTCAAAGCCACCAGCACTAAGGTGAAAATTCTGCTGCCTGTTAGATGTCCTTGCTTGCTGTTTGATGTTTCTTCCATTACATCTTTTTTTTTTTTTTCTCAGCTGAGTGTCTCAAATTTTTTTTTAAAAAAAGAAGAAAAAAAAAAGTGTTTTTAAGAGAGGGTGAGAAGATCATGCTAGAAATTCAAGAGAAATCACTCCTCCTTGCAAGTGCGAGATTGTTTTCAATGCTGCATCTGCTCTGGCTTTCTCTTTAGTGAGCACAGAAATCTGTTGCAAGTCTATTCAATGCTCTAGCAGGTGTCTCCCTTGGGCAACACCAGGGACAGCATGCAGTGCCTGAGGACAAGCTATAGAGGGAGATACAGTAAGGCAAAAAAAGAAACAGAAAACCAAGAACTGGCAGTGACCTCATGGGAGGTGTCGGTGCCCTGCAAATGGAGACCCTGCCTGTCCCCAGTGCCGGCACAGCACTAAGTTGCCTTTAGCTACAGCCGGTTGCAGGCCCAGCTAGAAGTGAGTGGTCATTGTGTACTCATTGTCTTGGCCACCATCTCTTCCTTTCACGTGTCCATTTTCAGAGCTGCTGTGGGCATTTTCACAGACCTAATGAAAGGGAAAAGAGTTTAAAAACAAAGAAAGACCCGTTAGGATCCGATGGCAGCCTTCTCTGAGACACGCAGCTTTTAGCAACCTCGTTTCCCATCCACCACTCTGTCTGGTGGACACCCTTCTCCCAGCAGGACAACAAAAGTATTGGGGTGCAATTCCACCCGGTCCCACAGGGAATGAGGACTGGGAGTTACGAGAGGCAGAAAGCCAGAGGGCATGGCTACAAGGCTCTGGCCCTTCCCTTGGGAGGGCAGGGGGAGGCAAGTGAAGCACCGGCTGTTCCTAGAGTCCTTCCATCCCACGGACAGGAACGAAGGGTTGACCACCATGGGCAGGGTTATGAGGCCTCCTCCGCTCCCTGCAGAGTGGGGCAGCCCCACTCCCCGCCCTCCCACTACTGTATGCCCTCAAAGAAACCCCCACCCCAGCTGATGGCCTCCTGCAGCACTGGCACCCCATGTCCCTGCCCAAAAAGCAACGTGGTCACCACCGGGTACCCACCTCAGCCGGGGGGTGTCCGTCCCCCGTGTCGTCCACCAGGTCGGTGCCGCGGGTCTCGGGCAGCAGGACGCAGAGCAGCCCCCCCACCACGGGGGCACTCCCGAAGATGGCCATGGGGATGGCCCGGTGGTACTGGCCCAGGAGGCGGATCAGCGGGGCCACGATCCCCGCCACCCGCGCCGACATCGAGCACAGCCCCACGCCGGTCTGCCTGGGGGAGCAAGGGGTGGCGGGAGGCACGGGCAGGGCTCGGCGTCCCCTGGGCCACCGTGGGGCTGAGTGCGGCCGTGGGGACAACTGGGCTCTTGCCCCACCACTGCCACCAAGCCGTGGTGGAGGGACACGCCGGTGCGTGGGGAGACCTCACCTGATGACCGTGGGGAAGAGCTCTGCGGAGTAGACGTAGGAGGTGGAGAAGGAGGCTGAGGCTGTAAATTTGCCGATGATGGCCAGGATGGTGGTTGCCACGGGCTGGTCTGAGGGGAGGAGGAGAGAGCGCTGCTGTAGGATGAGGAAGAAGGGCCCAGCACCACTCAGGGATGGAGGCTGGGGACGCACGGCGACCACTGTATCACCTGCAGGTAGCCACTGGGTCTGAACAGTGCCTGAATGTGGACCAAACAGCAGCTCTGGTGCTGGAGCCACCTTCAGCACATTTTGCATTCATCATCTCACCTCCCCATGTATTAACTTTCCCAGAGAACAACTCTGCTAATAGGTGACCTTCTGGGCTCGACTCTACCCTCTTCTATTTCAATCAGAAAGCAAAAGTCTGCCGGTCAGAATGGGCCTTGGGGAGTTAACCAAGTCCCTTGTGGCCATGGCACCAGGGTCAGCTCTAGACCTGAGAGATGGGAGCCCGGCTGGTTGGGAGAACAGGACCTGCACCAGCAAGGGAAGGGTTGGGGCTCTGTGGCTCCCTGTCCCAGAGGTTGTCCTCTTGGGATGGGAAGAGGTTGTTCACCTTCAGGGATGCCAGTGATGATCAGACACAGCAGGCCACTCAGCAGCAGGAGAACAGCCTGGCTTTTCTTCCTCCCAAACCTCTGCAGCACAAAGATACAACCAACACGGGCTGGAATTTCCACTGCTCCAAACGCAAGCTGTGTCAGGTAGATGTCCAGACCAAAATTTGTGACGTTTAGACTCAGCCCATAGTAGACAAGGCTGTTCACAAACCTGAAAGTCATGCAGGGTGGCACTGAGCATACCTATTGTCCATGAGCAAATACAGTATTGATCTCCAATGATGACATTTTGACTAAGCCACAGCATTTCCAAGAACACATAAAACCAGATGAATACCACAGGATTGCCAAAGCTGGAAGGGCTCTAAACTTTCCCACAAACTGTATAACATCTTGAATAGCCAGAAACAGAAACACCCATCAATAACACCTAAAAACCACAAGATGAATTTATAGCTATGACTAGCAATAAATCCCTTATTTTTTTCATCTACAAATTTGGAAAGAAGGGACCAGGGGATATCTTACCAGGCACATGACATGATTAAAGTCACATTCCGGAGGTGCTTCTTCCGAAAGAGATCCAGAATACTTCCAGACTTGGTCTGTGTCTCAGGCTTCAGCTTCAAAAGGCAGAAAGGCAAAAAGGGTTACGGCAGGCAAAGGAAACCCATGGCCAGCTCCTTTTCCATCTGCACTGAAGGGAAAGCTTCAGTGGGACAGGCTTGTGACCCCAAACTGCTCTGGGAGGGAGGGCAGCCCAGAGAGGCTGGGCTCCTGTGCCTGTGCTCTGGGTGCCCAAAGCACTAGTGTGATGGCTAAGAGGCTCCTCAGGATGGACATTTCCCCAGCACAGGGACTTTGAGGTGGGCATGACCTTTGGCCAGTTGTACATGGAAAACCGCCAACTAAAGAGAGCCCTTGTGCTCACCCTCAACACTCCTACAACCCTCACAGAAGAAAAGCCAGGGAAGCTGTCGAGTCCTTTCCATATCCCAAGGTGGACTCCAGAAAGGTCCAGGCTGAGCCGCAGCAGGAGCTGTGCCTCTTGCCTGACTTGGCCTCCGCACAGCGCAGATGAAGCTGGAGTTAGCCACAGGCCATCCCCACCTCGTCCCCAGTGGGCATGGGAAGATATTTATCGGATGACGGATGAACCAACGGCTGCTACAAAGCCAGGCGCAGAGGAAAGTCTCTGAAGCCAACAAGCACTTCCCCGTGCCATCACAGGTACCTGCTCAAGGAGTCCTGGCGGGAGGGTGCACTTGTTGATGGATGCTGCCTTCTGAAGGACCTTCTTGGCTTCTTCTATTCTGCCTTTTGTCACCAGCCACCGAGCTGACTCGGGTAGCACCCTGCCAAGGAGATGAAATCAGGAGGTGCTGCTGTGACCTGCTGAGTTTCCCCACAGCCCATCTCCCTGCAGCCACGGCCAGCAGGCAACGGGCATCACATGTGACGGAGGGGTCTGACTACCTCCTCAGGCCAGGATTTCCAGGCCTACGTTTGGGCCCCAGAGGCCACATCTGAGGACCCGAAGCAAAGCAGCTGCTTCTTGGAGGGGTCCAGTGCCCCAGGGAGATGTGCTGAGCTCTGCAGAAGTCCTTCCAAGATCTGCGCTTTAATGGATGGGAAAGACCCAGCCCGGTGCTGAGCTGCTGCCTCCTCACTGCCACCTCTCACACTTGCTGTTGTTGTGCCTGCAGGGAGCTCTGCCCCACTCCTGCTTACCAGATGTAGAAGAAAAGGGCAAACGTTGGGGCAGATCCTGCAATCTCCAGCAGCCTCCAGTTGCGAATACCGTAACTCAAGCCAGCCAAGAGCATCTGTCCGATGGCGAAACAGCAGTGAGAAAGAAGCACTGCCTTTGCCCGGGAGGAGGCACCAACCCATTCTGTAGCTGAGAAGAAGAATGAAGGTTCAGAGTCATCCATGCAAATTGTTTCCCCTGATGCAAACTCTGTTTCCGTTGGAGAAGAGCTCTCCTGGAGGTGAGGAGAGGAGACAGGCAGTCAGAGCTCTGGCCTCAGTCACACACGCAAGTCACCACTGTTTCATGAGATGTATCACCTCTCCTTATCATCAGGGTGTTCCTGTCCTCTGAAGAGGACATGAAGCTCAGGTATGTCACCTCTTTGTTCTCAGTTTCCACAGAGCCCCTCACTGGGGCAGAGCTGGGGTCCAAATCAATCATGTGGAGCCACTGGGCTCTGCCCACACTGACCTCCTGGGAGTCTACCCCCTTCTCCTCCCCTGAGCACTGGCATGGGAGAGCTGCTCCCCAGGGCTCTCACTCAGGGCTGAGGAGATGCCAAAGTGCTAAAGGACAGTGCAGTGCAAGATCTGTCCTCACCGTGGTGTTTTTCAAGTTGTACATGCTT